TTTTCAAGTGCTTCTTTCCCTTTGTCCACATCTACTGATACGGTATCACATGCTCTGGGAGATAGGGCTTAGTATAAAGCTTATTGAAGTTAGCATGAGCCTTTTCTTTGAGTTCAGTGAGAATAACATCTAGCAATGCTCTCAATTTCAAGAATTTCTGGGTTGGCACCTTTTAGAAGGTAATAATTTACATTGAAGTTTTATAAGAAAAGGTTTATTTATTCATTTGTTTGTCTTTCTTTTAACTTCAGCTCTAATTCACTGGGTTTGGGGCTCCTGTGGTTTCAAGCTGAATCTCCAAATATATGCAATTTTTGTGCTACATATTTCTGGCATGGCATAAACTTTTTTTGCAGATGAAAAGGAAACCTCATTTCAAAATAACAGTTTGAAGCAGAAGTGTAGTAAAAATACACTGAGCACAATTTCTCCTCTCTTAGAAAGCAAACTTGGAAGATTCTCCTGGTACATATTGTATCTAAACATCAAATAAGTGCACCTTTTAAAACCTTACGTATACTGATGAGACTTAGCTAGAACATGAGCTGGTGCAAACTTAGTGTGAATGCAAATATGTTCGTAAATATCTTGGATAATCTCCAGAAAACCGATTCCTCTCATACTCAGAAAATCAATTTTTCAGGCATCTTGGAAGAGTAAAGAAAAATTTTTAGGCAAAACTGCAATCCAAATAAAACAGAATTATTTTTATATATGTGGAGATATCTTTGTGAGAGCCTACAGAGCGCACACTGTCCCATATACAGGGCTGCAGAGGACATGTGAAAGCAGAAGATCGAATACATTGAAAAAATCATCAACTAGATCAGTGGACAGATCTAAAAGGCAGATAAACCTACTCAAAGGGCTCATAATTTATATCCAATTCTGTATCTGATTGCTTATGAACAGTAGAAAAGTATCAGTACTGAAGTTTCTGCTCCTTACTCACATTGAATAGATGTTCCTTGAAAAGAGACCCTTTATAATAAAAATATTGACAATATAGAATAATAGATTTTTATTTTGCCAAATTTAGCAGGGTAAAGTGAAAATTCAATTTTCTTTAAACATCCAACATTTCCCCTTTAAAACAAATTTAAACAACAATATATGATAATATAAATTTTTGACCTAGAGTAGCTTTCATCAGAAGATTACTGTGTGAGTTGCCCTGTTGGAACTGATATGAGGACTAAAGAAAACTTAGCAAAATACAGCAATTTTATACTGTAATAAAATGTGCAACTGTATTCAAATCAAACTGTGGAGAAACAGTTTTACTAAAATGTCACTTCAGGTGATAGCTGTAACTTCCACATGATGAGTTTACCTCTTTTGAGTTTGTGGGTTTAAATTTTTTTTTTCATTTTGAGATTACTTCTTAATATCATGTTTTCATTCTATACATTGGATTATGGATATATTTGAAATTTTAAAAAGAGTGTTGATAATGATAGAATAAATTATACTTTTCCACCATACTCAAAAACATTTGTTTCTCACTCACAAGCACCTGAATTCTTGAATTTATTTCTTTCTTCTTTGAATTTTAAACACTTCTTCTAAATTCTGCTCACTGTCCTGGTTTCAGCTGTGACTGATAGAGTTAATTTCCCTCTCAGTAGTTGCTGTGTTTTGGATTTAGTACAGGAAGAATGTTGATAATACTGATGTTTTGAGTTGTTGCTATAAATCAAGGACTTCTTCCAGTTTCTTTTTTCTTTTGCTAGGGGACTGGCTGTGAATCGGTCATCCAGAGTTGAGAAAAATGTATTGTCTATTGTTTGTTTTGCACATTTATTATTATCATTGTTATTGTTATTGTTATTGTAATTATAATTATTAGTATTAGTATTAGTATTAGTATTAGTATTAGTATAGCTGTCACTGGCGCATACTTGCGAAGAATGTCGCTTAGGAAGGCGCACTCCCAACCCGAACTCGCGGCCTGCGTAGCCGATCCCGAGGGAAACGCTTCCTCCCGTTTCCCCCGCCCCGACTTTTTCCCGGCCTGGACGGTTGCGCTTGCGCGCCAGAAATTTCAGAGGAATTGGGGTCTCCACTCTGCCCCAAGACGGTGCTTTATTTCTCCCCTTCTTTTTTTAACGCCTTTCCTTTCACTTTAAAGGTTTTCCCCTCCGAAAGGGGCGCGGAGGTGGCGGGGGACAGGGCGACAGCGGCAGGCCGCGCTCAGCACCCCACCCCCACCGCTGAGGTGAAGCCAACGCACTGACGCGCGGCAGAAACGCCTCATCCTGCACTGGAGTGGGGAGGCCATAAACTGGGGTTCACGCTGCCTTCTGCCCACCCGCCCCTCGAAACCCGAGCACCGGGGTTAACCACAGCCCCGGTGCTTTGGCATCGCCTGGATGGTGGGAACACTGACCGGCAGGCGTCAGGGCAGCAGGAGGGTCTCCTGGCCATGGAGGACATGCCGTGGAGGACATGCCATGGAGGACATGTTGTGGAGGACCATGCCATGGAGGACACGCCGTGGAGGACATGCCATGGAGGACCATGCTGTGGATGACCACGCTGTGGAGGACATGCCATGGAGGACCATGCTGTGGATGACCACGCTGTGGAGGACATGCCATGGAGGACCATGCCGTGGAGGACCATGCTGTGGAGGACATGCCATGGACGACCATGCTGTGGAGGACATGCCATAGAGGACCATGCCGTGGAGGACCATGCTGTGGAGTACATGCCATGGAGGACACAGCGTGGAGGACCATGCTGTGGAGGACATGCCGGGGAGGACCACACCGTGGAGGACCATGCTGTGGAGGACCATGTCGTGGAGGACCATGCCATGGAGGACACGCGGTGAAGGACACGCCGTGGAGCCACGCAGCATCTCTCCTGCGTGACCTGCGGGGAGAGCAGTGCCAAAGATCACAGGGCACGTTGCCGCACCACCGGGCGTTTACGTAATCTCGTTGCGCGGAACATCTGCCCGTCTTTCCCAGCCCACCCGTTCGCTTGACCATTTGCATCCATTTTGTCTTCGTCGGCCGGGAGGACGCCGGCGGCCCCGGGGATCTCAGTTCCCCTCGCGCGCCGCAGCCCGTGGGGCGAACTGGGATGGAGGAAGCTGTCCCCCCGCCTACCCACACCGGACACGCGCTTCTCTTTCCACCGCTCCATTCGTCCCGGGGGG